CATATTTATTTTATTTATTCATTAATTTGACCTGTTTATTGGTGCATATATAGGCTATAATTTACTCATACAACAGTACCTTGGACACAGCGCCACTAAAGCTTTCAAACAAAAGTCCAATAAAGTAAAGAAAGACTAGACTTTCTCCGGTGACGGCCGACATCACAACACGCCGTAACCGTCCTTAAGGTGGTATAGCACCTGCATTACTTTACAAAACAAGCCGTCTGGCTTGACTAAAGTGCAGTTATTTCCTCGTTGTTCAAAGAGTCTGCAAGTTCATGTTTCATGGATATATGATGTAGCTATAGGATTGTGAACATCGATGATGTTAAGCGTGTCTTTATTCGATGCGCAGCAGAAAAACAAAGTCTTTCAGTGGTGCATGCAGCTGTTGGTAAACTTCACTCCCTGAGTCCTCAGTGGAGAAACAACTGTAACCTTACCGAAGTGTTTTTAAGAATGATTTGGCATGATAGTGGAAAGCCAGCCTGATCTCACGAGAAAACGTAAGTAGTTTTGCCAGTTTAGTGGCTAATTAGCACGAATTCGTACGAGTTCAGTCGTACGAAATGGTACGATTTTAAAAAGGAGGCGTGGCACCTGACCCCACCCCTAACCCCAACCGTCATTGGGGGATGAGCAAATCGTACTAAATTGTACGAATTAGATCGTACGAATTCATACGAATTAGCCACTAAATGAAAAAGTTACGAATTGCCGTGAGATTGTGTTGGAAAAGCAGGCAGCTGTAGTGTATACTGTTTAATAATCCATTTCAATTATGTCACAAATAAATAAATAAATAATGATCGGCATTAATTCCAGCCCTCTCATGGTAGGTACGCATAGTGTGTACTGCCGTACGGCTGCAGGCGCCACTGAGAAGGAGCGCTATTCTGCTGAAGAATTGTCCCTCTCCTGGGGTTTGTAATGTAATGGCCAGAACAAATGTCTTGATGCCTCAGGCTGTTAATGCTGATCATCCACTCTGCAGATCTCTCGCACGCCCCCATACTGAATGTAACCCCAAACCATGATTTCTCCTTCACCAAACTTGACTGATTTCTTTGAGAATCTTGGGTCCATGTGGGTTGATCGGGATGCCGTTCAACAGATGATTCATCTGAAAAATCAACCTTCTGCCACATTTCCATATGATCAACTAAAAGTCGAGTTATTATTTGTTGCTCTTACAACTGAGATCAACGACAGGACTTTTGTCAGCCAGTGAACAGTACGTTCAATGTATAATTGCTTTTATTCATATGTAATTATACAAATGCCAAAATTGAGTTTTAAATGAGCTAAATAATTTAATAATGGAGTAAGCAAAATAATCTTGCTGTTCATTTTAAAATAAGATTATATTGTTTGTTTTATTTAAATGCTTCTTGATTCAAGAACGTTTAGATATTTAGACTATAAATGAGACCAAAACTCTAAGTAAGAAAGCATTTTTGCAGTGCGTTACTGTCAGTTGAAAGATGTTATTTTGCAGAGCCAAACAATCATGTTGTCTTCCACACTTATTTTTGTTAAGGTCTTTTTTAGCTTTTCAATTATTGGCTGCAGTGCATGGTTAGCATGTTGTGTAGGTTACACAATGCTATTTAAAATCATTTGCTCAAAATACTCACACAGTTATTAATTATTATTGTCTTTAGTTAAATTGTTTAGACAGTAACTGCTTTTGTCTGCTCATTTGATAAGAATAGACCAGGGATGGGCAAACTTGAGCCTCGAGGGCCAGTGTCCCTGCAGAGTTTTGTTCCAACACTAATCAAACACACCTGAACAAACTAATCAGTGTCTTCAAGATCACTTGAACTCTATAGGGAGGTCTGTTTGAATAGGGTTGGAGCTGAACTATGCTGGACACTGGCCCTCCAGGATCAAGTTTGCCCACACCTGGAATAGACCCATCAGCTGTGGTCTGTGAGATTTTGACCAGCAGAGGGAGGAGTTACACACAATTCTGACCAATGAACAGCTGAAGTCTTGAAGAGATACAGCTGTGGACTGAAGTTAACGGTAATTACGTATGCTAGTACAACAATACAATTCATTCATTCATTTTCTTGTCGACTTAGTCCCTTTATTAATCCGGGGTCACCACAGCGGGATGAACCGAAACCTTATCCAGCAAGTTTTTACGCAGCTGATGCCCTTCCAGCCGCAACCCATCTCTGGGAAACATCCACACACACACACACACTCATACACTAAGGACAATTTAGCCTACCCAATTCAACAGTACCGCATGTCTTTGGACTGTGGGGGAAACTGGAGCACCCGGAGGAAACCCACGCGAACCCAGGGAGAACATGCAAACTCCACACAGAAACGCCAACTGAGCCAAGGCTCGAACCAGCGAGTACAATGATAACAACTGTGAGGGGTAGGTTTTGGGTTGGGGTAGGCAACAATAAAATACAATTTAATGGGTAATTTAATTAAAAATATGAATAAAATTTAGTATAATTACTGTTTTTACATATTTGTGAGGTGTAGATTTAGGGTGGGCACTAATAAAATACAATTTAATGGGTAATTTAATTAAAAATATGAATACAATTTAGTATAATTACTGTTTTTACATATTTGTGAGGTGTAGATTTAGGGTGGGCACTAATAAAATACAATTTAATGGGTAATTTAATTAAAAATATGAATAAAACTTAGTATAATTACTGTTTTTACATATTTGTGAGGTGTAGATTTAGGGTGGGCACTAATAAAATACAATTTAATGGGTAATTTAATTAAAAATATGAATAAAACTTAGTATAATTACTGTTTTTACATATTTGTGAGGTGTAGATTTAGGGTGGGCACTAATAAAATACAATTTAATGGGTAATTTAATTAAAAATACAATTCCTTCTTGTCACAATTACTGTTTTTACATTACTGTGATGGTTGGGTTAAGGGTTGGGGTTGAGGTAGACGTTAATAAAGACGTTAATGGATAATTTAATAAAAAATATGTATAATACTCATTATAAACACTGTTTTTTCATTACTGTGAGGCTTGGGGTAGGGGAAGAAGTTAATAAAATACAATTTTATCAGTGATTTAATAAATAATATGATTAATTCTTGTCATAATTACAGTTTTTATATTACTGTGAAGGGTAGATTTAGGGTAGAGGCTAATAAAATACAATTCAACTGGTAATTTATTAAATAATATGAGTAATTTTCAATATAAATACTATTTTTTAAATAACTGTGATGGTTGGGTTTAGGGCAGGGGCTAATAAAATACAATTTATTGGGTAATTTAATAAATAATATGAATAATTCTCATTATAATTACTGTTTTTGCATTGCTGTGGGGGTTGGGTTTAGGTGTGACATTAATGAAATACAATTTATTGGGTAATTTAATAAAAAATATGAATTATTCATGTTAACTTCTGACCTTCTCGCTTCACTCTCATTCATGAATTCTCTCATGTTGCATCATGGGATAGCATAGCATCCAGGATTAGCGCTACAGAATCTCACCAAAAGTAGCAGGTCATCAACACTGTTGATATAAAAAGAAACAGCTGATTTATTGCTAAAGAGCAGAATGATTTTATTTTCTTGTTCAACGTAAGACAAAAGTCTATATATGCATTACAAAACACAAAATCAAGCAAGTTATTAAACTAATTTGATCAGTGGAATTAAAGAGATAGTTCAGCCCAAACTGAAAGTTCTGTCATTATTTACTCAACCTTCACTTTTTTCAAACATGTTGAAAACAAAAGAAGATATGGTTTAGAAAACTGGAAACCTGTAGCTACTGACTTCCGCATTATTTGTTTTTCATGGAAGTCAATGGTTTCATGTTGTTCGCTTTCTTCAAAATATCTTCGTTAGTGCTCAACAGTAAAAAAAACAACAACTCATGAACCACTTGAGGAAGAGTAAATAGTGAGTGAACGTGTATTTTTTTGAGTGAACTATCCCTTAAAGTACACACTTTAACATTCATGTTCAGTAACAGCCAAAGGTAGCGTCTGTAGTTTCACATTGTGAATGCAATACATATATTGTTATACAGTACATTTTTAAGAGCTTCAATTTTGATTCACTTTAGGTTCAATCCAGTGATTTTCCAGTTATTCCAGCTTTTCAGCACTACTTAAGCAACGAACACACAAAATAATTGCTAACACTATGGAGTTCTGTTTGGTAAAATAGGTTAACATGTATCAGGAGCTAACAAGGTGTTAATCTTCTAATAAACTGCTCTTTTCCCTTGCGGTGTTTGTCCATTACAGCCAAAGGTCATTCATTTTTCATTTGAATTAAAGTTAAAAATCCATCAGTACATTTGAAATTAAAGTGACTTTAATGCACGAGCAGTTCATTCACAAATCCAGTAGTTCTGATTATGGTTGTCAAAAGTATCGAATTCGCTACCAATCGGTACAGCAATTTTAAAAACGTCCATTTTCAGCTAACATTCTTTAACACTGCTCATTGGCCATTGTGTTCACGTGCTCAAAAGAGTGACTGTGATTGGCTGTAATGGTCATTCACCACTCTTCACCAATATTCACCAAGTGCAAATGCAAATACATGAACGCTGGAGCGTTTTAAAGCCGCATCAATCAGCTGATCTGTCAATTAGCTCAGGGGTTCCCAAACTTTTCAGCCCGCGACCCCCAAAATAACAATGCCAATGACTTGCGACCCCAATATCCTCTGAGGTGATTATAAATACAGAAACCTTGCATGCAATGACGCAGACACACCAATTAAATTTGTGTCAGTGCTTTAAATGTGCCAGAAAGTATAACCTGATGTTGAAAAATCAAAATGCATCTGACGCTATTGCTGCCTTTAATATAATGTATTTACCCCAGGGGTCGCAATCCAATAGAACTAGTAACTATAAGCTACTATAGTAACTATATAGTATATAGTAACTATAAACGACTATTTTTATATTTTTATTATCAGTATATTTATGGATAAAATATGTTAATTCTTATGGTTTAATAAAAATAAATAGATTTTTGGAAATCACCAGGCGACCCCCCTTCATTGCCCCGCGACCCCTGGGGGGGTCCCGACCCCCACTTTGAGAACCACTGAATTAGCTGACATACAAGCAATTCACCAATGGGTAGACTGGTCTACATGGCTTTGAAATGCTCAAGTGTTCGTGTATCTGCGGTTGCACAGCGATGAACATTGATGAAGTGATGACCTTTGCAGCCAATCACCGTCATTTCTGTTGCGCACGTGGACACAGCACTCACAAAAATACACAGATACAAAGATACTAGAGCGTTTTAAAGCCACGTCAATCAGCTGATCTGTCTATGAGCTCACATACAAGCGATCTACAGATAAATCGACTGATCTGCATGGCTTTAAAACGCTCAAGAGTCTGTATCTGTGTTTGCACTTGGCGAACAGCGTTGACCATAGGTGAAGCGATGACCTTTGCAGCCAATCACAGTCATTTCTGTTGAGCATGTGGACACAAGACTCAAAAAAATACACGGATACTGAATCGTTTCAAAGCCGTGACAATCAGTTGATCTGTTTATAAGCGGACATACAAGCGATCCACTGATGACTTGACTGATTTACATGGCTTTGAAATGCTCAAGTGTCCATAAATCGGTGTTTGCAGTTGGTGAACAGCGGTGAAGAATGGTGAAGCGATGACCTTTGCAGCCAATCACAGTCATTTCTGTTGAGCATGTGAACACAACACTCAAAAAATACACAGATACGAGGATACTGGAGCGCTTTAAAGCCGTGTCAATCAGCTGATCTGTCTATGAGCTCACATACAAGCGATCCGCTGATGAATCGACTGATTTCCATGGCTTTGAAACGCTCCAGTGTCCGTGTATCTGTGTTTGCACTTGGCAGCAAAGAATCTGTTGACATTTTTAATTACCGATTGGTACCAAACACGATACTTTTGACAACCCTATAGTTCTGATAACTATTCAAGTAAACCATACGAGACCAAACCAATGCTTTAAAAGCCAGTCGCTGAAGTAATGGCTGAGAGAGTCTGTGTGGCTACCGTCCGCAAGGCAAACGTGGGCACAGAGGGATCCATGAGGAGGAAGAGCTGGTGTTGAGGACTCTGAAGACCAAAACACTTACACTCGTCAGTGACGAGATAACACTGCACAGGAACGTGAGTGAATCCCTGAGCGAAATCCGATGCTGTTGACTCCTGTGAGGTAAAATATCGAGTCACGGCAAACACGTAAAAGAGCCGAAGGAGCTCCAAACGTCTGGCTGTTGAGATCAGAGGTGGTGTATCCTCTGCAGGAGCACCAACCCGAACCCGAGGACACACGGTAAGGGCACGGCGGGAGTCACAGTTGATCAGTAGAAGAGCCTGGACGTCCCAGCGGAGGCTTACAGATGGTGGAAGACTGGAACGCTTGGCCTGCTCCAAACAAGTGCGTAGATTCTCCACCAAAGTGGACCAGAAACGACTGATGAGCTCACTTGCATTGTGCAAAGAGGGTTTGGGGCCGCAGAGGACGCACACATGAACCCCTGGAAGAAGACATATACAGTTGAAGTCAAAATTATTACCCCCCCTGTATGTTTTTTCCCAATTTCTGTTTAACCAAAAGGAGATTTTTATAGTGTGTGAATAATCAAGGATTGAGAATAATGTGTCATATTGGTTGCATCAAGGGAGCCCCAAATAAAATCCAGCTTAGGGTCCCCTGAAGACTTGGGTCGACCCTGACTAGGCATGGTGTAAGGGTATTAGGGTGTACTCACACCAGGAACAGTTGCCTTATATCTTGCCTGAGCACGATTGTCCTCCATCCGCTCTCCCTGCACTCACACTGCAATTTTACCTTCTGAGCCCGAGCACGCTTACTGTACGTCATCGATGATGCAACTGTTCAGTTAGGACGAGAAGCGCAATCAAGATTTCTTTAGTTATACCGTTTTGTATTATTTTAAGTAGAGCTGCACAATTAATCGTTAAAAGATCGCACCTAGACCAGGGGTCACCAATCTCGGTCCTGGAGGGCCGGTGTCCCTGCAGGGTTTAGCTCCAACTTGCCTCAACACACCTGCCTGGGTGTTTCAAGTATACCTAGTAAGACCTTGATTAGCTTGTTCAGGTGTGTTTGATTAGGGTTGGAGCTAAAATCTGCAGGACATCGGCCCTGTAGGAACAAGTTTGGTGACCCCAAACTTGGACCCCATTCGAAATTTGCAAGCTGTTGGATAGGTGTATCTAATAAAGTGGCTGGTGAGTGTATATTGAAATGGTAATAATAAACGTTTACAAAGCGATTTAATGCTTTTGAAAATCACGATCGCAGTATATATGTCCATGCCTAATATCCGATGGCCAGAAAGTGATTATTTTTTTATAAATTGTTAAATTTTTGGTATTTGTTATGCAGCAAGCCCAGAGATTGTAGTGTACACTATGATTTTGTATAAAATTAACTTTAATGTGTGATTGGAATAAAACGTGATCATAAACGAATGATTTCTCCACTCAAATGAATGGCGGCTTGGACCCGGAAACAGTATTACATACGTCACAAACACGTCACCACTTAACAAGCGGATAGCATGCTTGGATGTTGCTGCGTAGGTGATTTGCTTTTCAGGTAAATCATGGGCTGACCAGACGCATTTGATGTGGATGCTCCTTTTATGCTGGACACGCTGTTGACCTCAAAAACTAAATAAAATAGTTGCGAAAAACAAAAACAAAAACGTACATATACCGCAGTACAGAAAGGTTTAGCGATTTTAAAACGTTGGCTTTTCCAAACCGCGGTAAAACTTGAAACTGTCATCGTCCCATGCCTAGCCCTGACCCAAATGTTTAATTTTTTTCATGAAGCGCCCCATCACTACCATGATAAAAGCTTTCAACAAATAATCGCAACAAGAATATTTGGCATCGACAGAAGCCTACCTGGAAGCAGCTGGAAACTGAGCAAACGAATAGCGACAGTGGGACTGCCTTTGGGAAGGAAGACCGGATAGTCACAAGACGACGCATCAGCAAGCGAACGCACCAACACCGAAAGCACAACAACTTCCTGCGGAGTCAATCGAGACCACCATTTCTCTGTAGCCCGAGCCACACGCCCGTTTAAAAGCAGACATCCAAATTCGCTCTCCGTCGCTTGGGCGAAGGAGTCTACAGCCTCCTGAAGAAGCAATCCAGAGTGGGACGGAAGCAAACAGTCGGTGCATTGCGTCAGATCCCCCATAAATCCTTCCTCATCATTGACACGCTCCAACAGCATGTCGATGAGGCGGTAACAAGAGCGCAACTCTCGTTTTAACCTCTCCACGTTGCGTATGCTCGACAACTCGTCCTGTCCCAGAACTAGGACCATGCAGTTCCACACGTTCTCCAGCAGACGGCGCAATTGCAGTTGGCTAATAGAGGAGCCTCCGCTGCCGCTCACCGCAATTAGCATCAGGCTGTCCTGAAAGACCCCCCAGACCACACGACTGCCCCGATCCGTCTCACAGCTGGACAACTGCGCTCCGTGGCCTGCACCAAACATGTGGACGCCGTTTAAGGAGCCGATGACGGAAAAGGGAAGCTGCTTGGAGGATCCTCGGGAGAATAGTGGGACGCCACTGGAGGCCGTAAGGCACAGGAGCTGGAGAGTCTCCGCTTGCAGCATATTGAATTGAGCTGGAAGTGGCTCTAAATGGCTGTCAGCAATGGAGACATCTTATTACGCCTTCAGGTGCACAAAAAAAAACAATAAACAACCATGTCAGAACTTCAGTATTGAACGTAGAACAGAATCCAAAAGGACCACATCAAAGTGAAAAGCAGAACTGTATCTATATACACAATTAAAGTCAGAATTATTCACCCTCCTGAATTTTTATTCTCCCTGTATATATATTTTTTTCCGAATTTCTGTTTAAATGTATATTTTTCTAAACATAATAGTTTTAATAACTTACTTCTAATGACTGATTTATTTTATCTTTGCCATGATGACACTACAAAATATTTGACCAGATATGTTTCAAGATAATAGTATTCAGCTTAGAGCTGCACAATTAATCGTTAAAAGATCGCGATCTCGATTCGACCCCCTAGACGATCTTAATCCAGCATTTCTACGATTCTGTCAATCATATTTTCAAGTTCAGGAGAGAAGAAAAGGCGGCTGCACGAGTCTTTTCATTGTTTCACACGTTGCTCAGTGACATTGACACCTCCAAATGATGTTGAATGAGTCACATACTGTATTTATAAGGTATAATTCACCTAAAAATGTCATTTTTGTTTTTTTGCGATCTGGAAATCACACGTGACATGAGCTGCTGACCGTGAGCTGTTATCACAGAGAGGGCGCTCTACTTAATGATAGACGCGCACGTCTACTTTAATGAACAGAACCTGCATATGTTGTGAGTAACAGGTAATACAGTTGTAAATAATATTCAGTTTGTGGCACAGATTGATCGTTTGGGAGCCGCGCGCAAAGTATGAACAAGCACTTAGCAGTCAGAATGAAACCGAAAGTGTGCACTTCATTTAAATGATCACATCGCATTTTAGAGTTATGATTACGACAAGCATTTGATGTGTTTTCTTTCATAGCGAACACACAGTTGTGCATGAAAATAAATGTTTACAATGTCAGTATAACTACTCTAGCTTATATATTGCTGAATATAATCTGATGATGGCAAATGTCTGATTTTACCAGTGAATTAAATAGTCTAATATGACAGATTGCAAGCATATATCTCAAACATAATAATTCAACGTCAGAATTATTATAAGTAGAATAGAATTATTTATAGACACCAGTAGACCTACACATAATATTATTAGCGATGTTGTGCCATATGTCTGTTTTTACCATTCCTTTATTTTACATCTACAGAATCGTGAGAAAATGGTGATCTTTATTTTAAGCAAAAAAAATCGCGATTCTTATTTTATCCAGAATCGTGCAGCTCTAATTCAGCTTAAAGGCTTAACTAGGTTAAGGGCAACTTAGGGTAATTAGGCAAGTCCCTAGCCCCTTTCACACAGCGATAGTGGTAAATATCCGGAAAATTACCAGAACGACTTTACCGGTAAATTCTAAAAAGCGCTGTTCACACAGGCAAAGACGTTCCGGATTTTTTTGTAAACATAGAAGGGGTTCAAGTTTTTGTTGATGATTTCACATTTACAGGTGAAACCAGAAGTTTACTTACACTTTAAAAAAAAAGTAACATAACCATTTAAAAAAACAATGTCTGATGGTAAATCATACTAAACGTTTACTATTTTAGGTCCGTTAGGATTACCTACATGATTTACATTTGCTAAATGCCAGAATAATGAGAGAAAATTTGTAAAGAATTTTTTTTTATAATTTCTAGACCAGGGATGGGCAAACTTGGTCCTTGAGGGCCGGTGTCCCTGCAGAGTTTTGTTCCAACACTAGTCAAACACACCTGAACAAACTCATCAGTGTCTTCAAGATCACTTGAACTCTACAGGGAGGTCTGTTTGAATAGGGTTGGAGCTAAACTATGCAGGACACTGGCCCTCCAGGATCCTGTTTGCCCACACCTGTTCTAGACAGTCAAAAGTTTACAGTTTCTACAGTTGTGCCTCCAATTAACTCAAATGTTGTCAGCTAGCCAATCAGAAACTCCAAAAACCTTTACACCATCCTTTAAGCTTTTTTAGAGGCATAATAATCGTATTTTATATAATCTTGACTTTCAAAAAAAGTTTCTCAAAAAATATCTCTTATAATTCTGCTATTAAGCAGAACAGAAACAAATATGATAAACCTAACTTACGAAAAGAGAAAAAGATTACTCACATTGACATCTGACTAAAGTGCCTTTTTATACAGTGTATGTAAACTTCTGGTATCAACTGGTTTAAAAAGCCATTTGAGGAAGGGTAAAAAGTGAGTAAAATGTAACTCTGTGGTGAACTATCCCTTTAACTAAAACTTAAGTCAAGGCAAAGTTGGATTTATATTCACATATTTGGACTTTCTCCTTGATAATATAACTTTATAAACTACTCTTGAAAAATCATTAGCAGCCAATGACCAAGAGACAAAGTAACTTACAATAGTGAATTCACAGTTAAATAAATATTGCTAATGTTGTTTTGAAGTCATACTTGCATATTATGTCAGACCGAGTATTCAAAGTACCATGGAAAACATTAGGAGCACGTCAAAAGTTGTCACTGAGCGAATTTGTGAATGTAAAAGAGCAATTCCGTGCAAATGTCAACCTTGCCATGAAAAAAAAATTAAGTTTTTACCAAAATACGGAAAACCATTTCTGTTTTTTTGTGTAGGCAAGTATTTTACAGTACTTTAAAAATACTCAAAAAGCATCTGTTAATGTTTTCAAACTATTACTATTTGATTTACCAAAGTCACACAAATGGTAATTTCACATGCGTCACATCCATAACAGAGAGATGTCACATCCATAACAACACTTTTTCATCAGAAATGTGAAAATATTAAATAAAATAAAACCAATCATTTTTGTTTTATAGAGAGCCGACTCAAATCCTTTTGATTAGCATTATTTCTTTTGGGTTGTGCAGTTTAATTCACATAATTTCTACAAAGTGTGTTGTATACTGTAAACTCGCAGACTTTTTTTTGTCACATCCATAAGGCATGCTTATTTTCCACATTTAAAGTACAAAACACGTTTACAGATTGATATTTTTCTGCTCCCATAACTTTGTGGCTAGTTGCTCTAGAAAATATAATCAAATTTTTCAATAAAATGTTAACATATACTTTCTCTGTCAATTTATGGGTTGAGTTTTTACTGCAAATGTCACATCCATAACGCTGGAATTGCTCAAAACCAACTTTACGTCAGTCTTTAAAGAAAATCACCTCACCCAAACGGGAAAATCTGGTCTTCATGCAAAATGGACGAGCAAACACAACACACGATTCAGAATTACATTTGGCATGCTTCATTATGCAAAACGTTATACAAAACTAATCTGCTAATCCACACTGAGGCATTTTATCGTGTAAATTTAATAAGCGTTCGCTAAAATACGTTGAGTAGGAAATAATAACATAATAACATAATAATAAAAACATTTGTGTCTTGTCTCACCTGAATTATAAAGTTGCAAATGTAGCGTCTCCACAGCAACATCTCTGACAACAACAGCCACAGCGCTTCCTTCTTCTTCGCAACTCGATGAAAGTTTTTGGGTAACAATAAGATCCACTCCGCCATCTTCCGGAGACTTCAAGTGTGTGCAAGGAGAAAAAACTTCATTCATGTTAGTATTTTTCTTGGTTTTATGGCAAGTTTTTTTGTGTTTTTTATGTTATTATTGGTAATGTTTCAATTTATTAAAGGGATAGTTCGCCCAATAATAAAAAGTGTAGTCATGTTTCCTCAACCTCAAGTGGTTTCAAATCCATTTGTGCTTCTGTCATGTTGAACACAGTCCGTGCAATTTTCATCCCAGCTTTCTAATCATTTGTTCTGAACAGAAGAAATCAAACCAGTTTAGATCAAGTGACCCTGCTGAAAAATTCAGCTTAAACCAGCCTAGGCTGGTTGGCTGGTTTTAAAGGGATTTTGGCCATTTCCAGCCTGGTTTTAGCTGGTCAGGCTGGAAAATGACCAGCTAAATCCAGCTAAAACCAACTTGACCAGCCTGGTTTAAGCTGAATATAGCTGGTTTTAACTGGGCTCCTAGCCTGGCTAGGCTGGTCAAGCTGGTCATCTCTCAGCCTGACCAGCTAAGACCAGGTTGGAAATGGCTGGAAACCAACCTGGAAATGGCCAAAACCCCTCTAAAACCAGCCTGGTCGACCAGCTATAACCAGCCAACCAGCCTGGGCTGGTTTAAGCTGTTTTTTTCACTAGGACATTGAGTAAATGATTACAGAATTAAGACATTTGGGTGAACTGTCTCTGCAGACCATTTCAATGTGGTCATGTCATTGGTCAAGAGGCAATTTAATTATAATGTTAAAACAGCCATCATAACCAATATGTGGCTCTTGGATTCTCAGAAGCTAAGTTAAAATGTAAAACAGAAAATACATTAATTGGGACCATTGTTTGTTTACATCTCTCAAAATGGTCTATGGTTCAGGCCGAGTTGCATTCTTTGTGTCTTTATGTTATTATTGGTAATGTTTCGGATCATTTAAAGAGATAGTTCACCCATTACCGAAAATGTACTCACTGTTTACTCGAACTCAAGGGGTTTAAATCAGTTTGAGTTCATTTCTCCAATTGAAAACAGTCCATGAAATTTCCAAGCTTCCAAATTTCTTCAGTATATTCCTTTGTTCTTGACAGAAGAAATTTGTACGAGTTTAGAACAAGTGTATGAGTAAATGATTGCAGAATTAAGAAATTTGAGTGAACTGTCTGCAGACCATTTCAACGTGGTCATGTCATTGGCCCATGAACATTGCTTATTATCAAACCATTTCATATAACTGCAACAAGAGGCAATTTAATCATAACTTAATGTTAAAACAGCTATCATAATATTATTTACCAATATGTGGCTCTTTTTGGATTCTCAGAAGCTAAAAATTTAACTACATTGGGACATTCGTTTTTGTTTACATCTCTCAAAATGGTCTATGGTTCATGAGGCTTATATATATGCCAAGTTTCTTTCTTTGTGTCTTTATGTTGTTATTGGTAATGTTTGAATTATATAAAGGGATAGTTCACCCAATAATGAAAATGTACTGTTTACTCAACCTAAAATGGTATCGGTTTGAGTTAAGTTCTTTATCTGTTTCCATCTTCAGTATATTATTTTGTTCTTGACAGAATTAATTAACACCGGTTTAGGAAAAGTGGATGAGTAAATGATTACAGAATTTTTTTTTTTTTTAATTTTTGGGTGAACTATACTGAACTACAATTACAGTCTATTTTAATAAGTTATATAGATTATAGATTCACAGATGCCAATGATATCAATGTTAAAATGAAAGTGCAATATTTTAATAGGCCTATATTATCAGCATAAGTCATTACTAGAATTAGTTTTAGGTTCCCTGCTAAAAAAAAGAAAGTTTTTAGAGTTTTGGCTATTTCCAGCTGAAAAAACAGCATGCTGGTGGGCCTATGCTGGTTTTGCTGGTCGGGTCAAGACCAGCAAGACTAGCATTGAGCCCAGCACTGAAACCAGAAGGACCAGCATCAAAACTAGCAAGACCAGCATCAAAATATACCTTACCAGCATATGCTTTTTTTATTTTTAGCAGGGTTAGCTGGTCAAGCTGGGAAATGACCCACTAAATCAGATTGACCAGCCCAGGGCCGGAGTGGGACTCATTTTCAGCCCTGGAGTTTCAAGCCAGACCGGCCCACCTCAGTTCAGACTGATTCCAATTCAGTTACTAATGGCACTATCACGTCTTTTTCAAGAAAACTGCTGCTTTAGAAATTCAAATGTTCAACAGCCCTAACAGTATTTTATGTCTTAACAATAAAATCTAAAAAAAAAAAAAAAAAAGATTTTTCAAGGGAGATTCGATCTCAGGTCTGCGACATTGAAATGCATTGTGCTTACCACTGGACCACATTGGCGCTATCAGGTAAAGTAAAAAATAACTAATGACTTGTGACCCTTAAGACACAGCACTACTTTCTTTTGATGGCTCAATCTTTTTCTCCTATTTTTAGATTTCTGATCAAGTTATGTCAGATTTATTAATGTAGTGAATCATTTGATTTTCATTGAGCAGGTGTTTTATTCATTTTATTCGAATTCTTATATTCACTAAGGTGCCGCTGATTGGGGTCGATAGTTACATTACATCATCATCATTAACGTTAGTTAACCTGCAGGCTGCATTTTTCTCACGGGGCTGTGAGAAAATAAATAAAAAGAGCGGCACTGCGGCAAAATAATGATTAAAAAGAGAAAAGCTATGGTCAAATAAATAAATAGAAAAAAAAAGTGTGACTGCTGAGAGTGCAAGCAGCTAGGGACACCGGCCCTCGCGGCCAAAAAACAGACCGGCCCACCGGGAATTCTCCCGGTCCTCCCGATTAGCCAATCCGGGCCTGGACCAGCCTCGTTTAAGCTGGAGATCTCGTTCTGGCGGGTCATCTCCCAGCTAAGAGTAGACTAGGGTAGAGGCTGAGGTACTAAAAATAAAATCTCTACCTGAAATCCTTCACGCTGTTGTTTTTGGCCGTTTGGCGCCATCTTGTGACTGTTTAACAACAATAAAAAGTAGCCATTTTGGTTTCTGTCAGTTAAACGTTTAAATAGAGTTATTACAGCTCAGATTGTTTTATCGCTAATTGTTTGGTTTTAGGGCACGTAGCAGTAAAGTGTGCAGAATAATACACATAGACAGAGACCGACTTAACCAAAAATCGGTAAGCAGACGCTTATGGCCCAAGGGTCTTAGGGGGCTGCAAACAATGCCATGAAGCCTATATTGATCATATAGCTGTTTTATTAATTTTCTAACATATGTTGTAAAATCTGTCTATAACCATTAAGATTTTAACGTAATTACCTTTTTTCAAAACTGGGGGCCCCATGAACTGGAATTTTCCATCCATATTGCACATGCAATTTTTTTAATTAACTGCATATAGTTAGTTTGTGAACTTGCTTTTATGTTTGTGAATTGACTGCATTTAATTTTACATCAAGAAGATAAAAGTTCCACTTAAAATATATTTTAACAGTTTATTTACAATAAAATATCCAGAGAAAAATACATATCTATAGAGAATGAAAATGTTTTGAGTTTCAATGCTAGAGCCCAATACCTGGAATCACCAAATCTGCCCCTGCACATAGATGGTTGTTTCCACAGAATAAAGCTCTTCAGTTGGACTTTATAGTGAATAAACAACAAAAAGGTCTATTTTCATGCTGGTCTTGCTACTATTAATGCTGGCCCTGTTGAAAAATCCAGCTTAAACCAGCCTAGGCTGGTTGGCTGGTTTTAGCAGGTCGACCAGGCTGGTTTAAGAGGGGTTTTGGCCACTTCCAGGCTGGTTTCCAGCCATTTCCAGCCTGGTCTTAGCTGGTCAGGCTGGGAGATGACCAGCTAAAACCAGCTTGGCCAGCCTAGCCAAGCTGGGAGTCCAGCAAAAACCAGCTATATCCAGCTTAAACCAGGCTGGTCAAGCTATTTTAGCTGGATTAGGCTGGTTTAAGCTGGTTTTAGCTGGATTAGGCTGGTTTAAGCTGGATTTTTTAGCAGGGGGCACCAACAAGACCAGCACTGAAACCAACAATACTAGCATCAAAACCGCTTTCCAGCATATGCTGCATTTATTTATTTTTCCAGTAGAGACGTCCCTTACTTTACTCAGTCAAGTTTTGATTGCGCTTTTAATATGCAAATGAAAACACTCAAAATTAGCATTAGCCTAATAAGATACAGGTTTTTATACTTGTTGGTAAAAACCAAAATAAAAACACCACTGTCCATTTCCTCTTTTTTGAAACATTTTATTTTCGTCCAGCTCTGTTCCTCTTCACTCCATTACGCTAGCATGACATTTATAGCATCTGAAAAAGCTGCATCGCTAAGCCTCGCTGTATTATGGTCAACAGCACCACAATGACAAGATTATGTGCCAGAGAACTTGATTATTTAGGCCAAAGATACTGGAAGGAAAGCAGCAGCAGTTAAATTACTGGACATAGAAGAGAGGTAATGCAGTTTTCGAAAAACATTTGTGATTTAGATGAATTGGCTGGCGTTTCATTCGTAACACTTCATCCTGTGCAAAGTAGAAAATAGCTGGCTGTTTCTGGATCTCCAAAAAGCAAACACATTTTAAACATTTTTGCACAATAATTTCAGGAATGAACGAGAAGTCAGGGATTAGGAATCACCTCGCTCTTTGCGACATGTTAAGATTTTGACATTAGATCAGAGTAGATTGACAGACGATCACGTTACAATTGATCGGAATGTTATTTTATGGCTTTCTGATTTTTCTTCATTGTAAAGGCACCAGAGAGGAATGACAGGATTGTTGCACCTCGTAGAAGAGAAATCGATTTTTAAAAAATATCATCAACACAAAGCCTTTAAGAGAGGCTTCCTTGGCAAAATTCAGGCGAAAGAACTGGCGAAAGGTCACTGGTCCTGTTCACATGCCCATGCGAATGCTCTGGATGATCTGGAATATTGCTGAAGAGAGAGAGAGAGAGAGAGAGGAGAAAAAAACAGTGAATCTCAGCGTGACATTACAGATAGCCCACGTTCCAGCCTTGGAAAAGTGGAGGAGGAAAAATTAGTTCAAGGTTTAGAGCAACAAATGTTAGCTTTCCCATCCACTTTATTTTGCAATGTGAAACGAAGCTCTTTTCTGCAGATGATTTAGGGTTTTTGTTTGATTTGCTGCTATGGATAAATAATTAGGAATAACATATGGCAGTGAAGGGTTAAACTACTTATCTTAAAAATACAAACCAGTGTTTTTATGACAATACATTAAGAAAAGACTGATAAGAAAATACCAGTTACCAGTTTTTTTTTTACACAGATCTACCAACTACCTGCGTGTGTATGTGAATTATAAACAATAATAATAATTAATAAATAAACAAATAAATGTAAAGAATGTCATACATGCATGCATACATACATAATATATATATATATATATATATATATATAAGGGATGCCACGGTTCTCAATATTATATTGAACCGTCCGGTACGACCTCCACGGTTCAATATACGCTTGTGAATTGTGGTTTTCTTGGTTTTGTGTTTTAATTAATGGTGCGTTTTATATCTCCCCGAATTGACTGTGTGTGCCTGTAAGTCCATGAGCTGAGATACGGAAACTCCTCCCCGCGAGTAAATATCCAATCACGATGCTCTAAAGTTAGGGGGCGCTTGACAAAGGCACGCACAACTCTCACAGTGAGATGTTTTCTACTGCGTTGCTCGGCTTGTGCGCGCATAGTCATTCTTACATTAGAAATAACAAACTTGCAAGCAGAAAAGACGTGATATGGGAACTGCCGCTGCTATAGTTAATCTGGTGTGCGTGCGTATTAGCCTCGGTGTACATACTTGGAACTTTAAAATAGTGCACAGTTGGCAACTTGTCATAACTTTTCAGTGCAACAGAAATGCGGCTTAGAGAAGCCTTCACGATTAATTAACTGTGATGAGTAAAAGCGCAGTTAATAGTGACATCAGATAATCGTTGCATGCCTATTAACGATTACAGTGCATTGTACAAAAGGCCTTTTCTACAAAACATATCCAAATGTTTTCGGCTGTCCGCACCACTCGCTTATGGTGACTCACGCTCTGCACAGCTCATACTGAATTGAACAGTTGCACAAGACTTCATAGTTATAGCGTCCGTTTTTCGACTGAACTAAATTTATTTTTATGTCTAGGTCACACTATTTGGAGGGCTCGAACAAATTGCCTCGGGGGCCGGATTCATTTTTTTTTTTATACAATTCACTAGGAACTAGTGTACTTTTCTTAGCTTTTAAGTAAAACAAAATGAGTATTGCAATAAATAGTTTTTTTTCCTCCTTAACCTCTTACTGTTCCTATTGCCTAAAAAATAATAATAATAATAATAATTAAAAAAAATAAAAAATTAAAAAAACGTGTCAAGCCATGAGAACCGAACCGAAAACCGAGGTATGTATTGAACAGTGGCCTAACTGTATTGTATCCAATATATATATATATATATATATATATATATATATATATATATATATATATATATATATATATATATATATATATCAGGGCTCGAAATTAACTTTTTTACTTGGTAGCACCGGTGCTCCCAACTTCAAAAATTTAGGAGCACCAGAAAAAATTTAGGAGCACCCACCAAAAATGATTGAGCACCGCTGCAAATTGTATTTTAAGGGAGATATTGTATTTTAAAACAACATCAATTAGGACTAACAAAAACCAGAAACAACTATAACTAATGCTGAGATGACATTGATATTTGTGTGCAATAATTCCAAAATGTGTATGTCTAATAATTCTAGAATATTAATGATGATGAAAATGACAATAATAGTAACAATGAATTACATTTCTCATCATCATGCTGCCTTGAATGTGCTTGAATGTAAGTTATCTGCTATAAAAAGTCTGTTACTTTCTGAAAAATGTATAGTTTGCATCGAACAAAAATGAAGCATTGCAGTAAGAAATATTTATTTTGTACTGCTAAACAGCATATATATGCATGTCAGTTTAATAAATAATATTTCAGCTGCAAAACAAACAAAAGATTATAATAAAATATTAAATTCAAGGCTGAAAGCTGCAAAACAGTCATCAGTAACTAAAAAAAATATATATACATCTCATGAAAGAATAGGCAAAAGAAAGTAAGTAAAGTCTCACTTCTATCACTCTTTAAAAGTTTTGGTTTCAGTTTGTGTCAATTTAAATGTTCCGTCTGAGCTGATTTTCATTTTTCTGTGTTTGTGGAAAAGCAGGCGAGTCAGCTGACCCAATTTATGAGCAGGTTGAGCACCAGCGCAATACCGCTGTTTGTTATGAGAGGCAGTTTCAGTGTAAACTTAGTAAAGGCAAGCTTCTTTGGCGATGATACAGTATTAGATTTGACTTTTAGCGGACATTTGCGCTGAACACGCAGTGAATGCAACGCATCGAGATTCGACCACCTTCTCCGAAAAGCACATACTCGATTGATCTCAGCTGGCGGATCAATATTCACCACGTGTCATGATCGCTCTCATCTGCGTCTCAACTTTAGGTGGGGTTTGCACTTTGCAAACCTGTGTGCTTTAAGTTTTTACACTTTAGCCGTTTGCATTTCCCGTGGACATAAAAGCTCCCTCCCTGTCATCTAACAGTGAAAAGCCTTGAGTGATTGACAGCTAATATGAACCAATATAGCGGCAGGGAAGAGCGATTTAGCACGTTTTTAAAAAAAATCAAAACAGGTCGCACTAATGCGCCCAAATATATTATGAAGTCGCATCGATTAATTTTCGGGCGCATATGCGACCAAAATGGTCGCAATTTCGAGCCCTGTATATACACACACACACACACACACAAATATATATGTCATTTTTTATTTATTCATTTATTTATTTATTTATTTTAGGACAACAGTATTTCCGAGAAGATATCTAAAGCTGCTGCTTTGAATTTTAAAGAAATCTGTGTTTTTGAAACGAATGAAGACAGCAGAAGTCAATGAATCATTTAATTTATTTAGCCTGACATGTTTCTCAAAATAAAATATATTGTGCTCAAAGGGAAAAAAGTTTTTTACCCAGACATTTAGAAAGAATGCATTTGAGCAGAAATCACAAAACTGTGAAACCATGATGCTTTTATCCAAGGTCATCATATAGTATCATCAGAATCTTATACCGGACCATGCCTATGTGGAATGCAGCATTTTCTACAGTGATCTAGCAACTTACAATGGCTGCACACCATTTACATTAAAAATAAGGTGAATAAATGTATTCTTGGTGATCTTTTTTCTCAGAAAAGTCATGCAAACTACCTGCTTTCCCCCAAAAAGTGTCATTACAAACCAGGAGGGACGTACACTTTCTTGATTAAATCAGATAAAAGATTGCCAAATCACAGAAAGCACAAATGATAGGTCAAGCAAACAGAGTGAGATGACCGAAAATGTCATTCATTCAATGCAAACAAACTCTCAAATTGTAATGGGGAAAATGCTGCTGGAGCTGGCAGGAAAAAAAATGAACATGTGCCACGTCAAATCTAGAAGGGTCGGTTTATGACACGGTCAAAAAGACCATGTTAGGTCATCTCCTAAAATCCCTGATGCATTTAATAATGAAAGCCAGCTGGCAAGGAGATGAAGTACTTTTTTGGGGTAGTTCACCCAAAAGTGACAAACTATCAACCGACTTTTTTTGCCTAGACTGTGAATTAAAGGTGATAATGTGGTAAATAATGTTACACGTCTTGCACAGAATGATCATTGTCCTATATCATTGTACTTTTTAAGATCCCAAAGTATTGTGCAAAGGCATGGGTATTAATTCTGTTTTTTGTTTTCATAATTATTATTCTTTTTATTATTATTATTACTAATACAACCGCACAAAGTGTCAGTAAATGCAAACTTGCATTTTATGAATGGCTTCATTTATAAATGTGTTGTACGCACAATAAGTAGGCGGAAAAGTTTGTACAGCACATTCCATGTAAAACTTGTAATCCTTTAAAAGGTTTGTCTTTTAAAGATTTCAAGTAACATACTAAACTAAAATAAATGTTGGGTTTAACTGTTTATTGAATTGATTTAACTTGAATATTATAGTTTAAGGAATTTTTTTACACTCAGAAATTGTTCTGTTGCTTGTTCAAACTACTTATTTAAAATGAGCTGACTGAACAAAATTATTGTTTTTGGGTTTTTTTGGGGGGAGACAAAAAGCAATTTCTGAACAATTACAATTTTATTCTTGTTTTTAGAAATGTGTTGTCAAAATTAAGCAAGTCTTATTTTAATATAATATAAAAAAAACTGCCAAATGGGGTAAACAAATTAATCTTATCCCAAAGCAGAAACAAGATTATTTTTGACTAGAAACATAAAGACTCTGAGTAAGAAAGTCATTTTTTACAATGTAAAGTTGATTTGGGTTGGGACAACAACATGAAGGAATTGTGTGGAACACAGTATTTTTTAGTGTACACAATTTTTCATAAACATGACCACATGGATTTAGCTAAAATAAATAATGTAATGCAGGGTTTGCCTTTAACAGGACATTTCAGATGTCCTGATTGTGGGCATAAATTAGGATATCTGCAAAATTTCAACTGGAATATTTAAGCATGACTGTTAGCAGTGTTATTCAGTGCTGTTTTGAGAGAAACAAACTTGACAAGAGAATGAACGCAGCTAGAAACAAACTATATTTAACTAAAATATTGAGTTAAACTGCTTTTATTGAGTTGATTTAACTTGAATATTATAGCTTTTTAAAGGACATTTTCTACACTCAATTGTTTTTGCTGCTTGTTCAACATAAAATGAGTAGAATCAACAAAATTCTTGAGTTTTTTTTGGGCACAACTTAATTGTTTTACGTTCAATCCACTTACATTTATAAAAACAATTAAGGTAAACCGCAAAAACTGCTTCTCTTACTTCTTGTTTCTAGTCCAAATATCGCAAAATTCTTAAATCAAGAAGCATTTTCTGGAAAATTACACATTTTGTCTTGTTTTTAAAAATAATATGTGAAAATTATGCAAGTTTTATCTTAAAATAAGCAATGTAATCTGCCAAATGGGGGAAAGCAAATTCATCTTATTTCAAAGCAGAAATAAGATTTTTTTTGGACCAGAGAAACAAAAACTCAAAGTAAGAGAAGCATTTTTTTATTAATTTGAGTTGGGACAACAACATGAAGGAATCGTGTGAAACCAGGCATTTTAAATGGCCTAATTTGTGTGGATAAATCAGGATATCTGCAACATTTTAGCTGCACATTTTTTTTTATCCAGGCCTGTTGGAAATGTTATTAGGTGCTGTTTTGAGAGAGGCAACACCTGCAGATCCACGTGTTGTTCCTCGTGAAAACAAGTAGATAAAGTCACGCTATCAGTCCAGCCTTGTCCATGTAAATAAAGCGCATTACTATCTCGGCCTTCACTGCAGAGCAAGGTTTCACAGTGTGCCAAAATTGAGTAGTCTACGTATTTTGGACTCAACGAAGAACCCATTACCAACTCGTATAACAAAAAACTCCTGATATAATTCACTAAACTACTAGACATCATATGCTAATCACGTATATTGATAAATTCACGTATTGATAGCTCATGACTCACCTGAACCGCAAACAACAAAGACGAATAACGCCAAGAGCCATGGTCCCACCGACACTTTATCCTCACTGACGTTCCTCTGTGTAAAATCACATTTAAATCAGTTACAATAGCTCCTTTGCAGCACTGCTATGTGATATCACGATGAAAGCGTAAACATTTATTTATGGGGACAAAATTTCACTTAAGACTACATTCACATGTATTAATATTGCCATTAAATGCTTAACTTTACGCTAATACATTGCGTTGCGTTGATTTAACGTTACGTTAACCGTCGTGATGAAGAGTCGTCAGTCATACCGACGATTTGACGTTCCCTCTCTGGGTGATGTTTTTGCTGTGTTTCTCGTTGGCCATACGGATCCTCTGCTTGGCGACCATGGTTGCAGATGCTGCTGGTGGCGTGAGAAAGTGAACTGGCGACCGTCACAACTGTGACAAAACACAAACTTGTGCCCTGGATAGAAGAGAAAGCTACGTCGATTTTTGTCAACGTACTCAGAATGCAGGCTCCGCCCTACCGGAAGTTCCCCAAATGAACTGATGTTGCTAGAAGGGATACAGCTACAGACAGAATTTGACGGTAATTATTTATCAATTTATCAATTGAATGTACTTTATTAAAGTCTATACTTACCCCAACCCTAAACCCAACCATCACATTATTGTAAAAACAGTAATTACACCGAGTGTTATACATATTATTTATTAAATTACTTATTAATTGTATTTAATTAACGTCTGTATCTACCCCAACCCTAAATCAAATCATCACACTAATGTTAAAATATTAATTTTTAATGTACAGTGTCACTATATTGATGTGAGTATCCGCAGCTGTATCCCTTCTAGAATTTACAATGGACCAACCCGCTTTTGAAAAAGGCGGACGATAATACGAGGATTAACATCACGTCAACGCAATATTTGCTAAATTAAGCTGTCAAATATGATCTAACGTGCTTTCTTTGAGTTGCCAGACAGCTTGTAATCATTTTGAGTCATTCCGCTAAGTGTTCTGCTCGTTGATATGTAAAATATGATCATATTTTGATGTATTTATAATGTAAACAAGATTGCAAATATATTATTTAACTTAATTTTTGTTATCAACTAATCCTGAAAGTGTAAAAACATATCTTAAAAAATATGTAACTATAACAATTTCTTTAATAGTCTAATATGAAACAAGCAAACATATTTTCCTCGCTAATAATTGTAAGAATCATTATTATTAATTTTGAACCGATATATAGAACAGCAAATCATCATAGTATAATGATTTCTGAAGGATCACGTGACATGGACTGGAGTAATGATGATGAAAAATCAGAAATACACATTTAAAATGACATTAAACAAGAAAATGTTTGATGAAATTTTTAATAATATTTGATAAATTAACATTTTTTTGTCTTTAGTTGTTAATCCAATAAAAATACAGCCATGGTGAGCAGAATTGACATGAAAACTTACTGTTTCCAAATAAGTAAATATTGTATAATTTTTACACTATTCACACATTTTTAAACAAATTGTTTTTTTTTTGTTTGTGTAATCATCATTCTTAATGCTCTGTGCAGGTTTGTCATCTTTTGGGGTCCCCAGATGCATTTCCATTGTGGTCTGTGCTATTTTTCATGCATGAGTATTGTCAAACTGATGATATTTCCTTTCAGATAGTTAGTGTTGTTCTGTTTGCATGTCTTGATGTTTGCATCTTAACTTACCACCGTACTAAATTGCTCAACGATGGAAACAATGAAAAGTATTGTTACAACAATGGTTGTAGGAAACACACCTCAGATTACTCATTTACTGAGGCAGGACTATAAGTACAAACCCTTTTTCAACACACTCACAGAATATAGCAAATATTTAAAAAAATATTTTGGTGTAGGACGGCACAGTGGCTAGCACTGTTGCCTCACAATAAGAAGGTCGCTGGTTCGAGTCCTGGCTGGGCCAGGTGGTATTTCTGTGTGGAGTTTGCATGTTCTCTGCATCCTCTGGGTGTTTATTCACGATACTTCGTTGAGGGTCATTCCGCTGTCGTGACCCCTGATAAATAAGGGACAAACTGAAGGAAAATTAATGAGTAATTTGGGTGTAGTATTCAGTTTTCAGCATTTTAGAAATCACTTACTTCACCTTAAGTATTTTCATGTTTAATATTTTACGTTAAAAACTCAACATTTACTCACCTTCATTGTGTCCTGTTGTGCGTATATGAATTTATTTCTCATGTAAAGTACAGACTGAGATTTTTAAAGGGGAAAAGTATCCTTTTAACTTTGCGTTAAGGCTCCGTTCAAACATGTTGTTGGTTTTTTAATTTCTACAGTCTAAAAAGGCAGCTATCTATTAAGGTTGCACAATATAAACCAAGACCTCCTTATGTACATGCAACAATAATGTTAAAGTGAGGAAAAGTGCACTGCAAAAAATGCTTTTCTTACTTAGATTTTTTTTGTCTTGTTTGTAGTCCAAATATCTAAAAGTTCTTAAATCAAGAAGCATTTTCTAGACAAGCAAAACATATTGTCTTGTTTTAAGAAATAATTTGCCAAAATGAAGCAAGTTTTTTCTTAAATCAAGCTAAATAATCTGCCAATGGGGTAAGCAAAATAATCTTATCACAAATCAAAAAACAAGACTATTTTGCTTACCCCATTGGCAGATTATTTAGCTTGATTCAAGAAAAAACTCACTTAATTTTGACATATTATTTCTCAAAACATGACAATATGTTTTGCTTGTCTTGAAAATGCTCCTTGATTAAAGAATTTGTAGATATTCGGACTAGAAACAAGTCCAAAAATTGAAAGTAAGAAAAGCATTTTTTGCAGTGTGACACTCACAATTCATTCAATCATACATTTTCCTTCGACTTAGTTCCTTATTTATCAGGGGTCACCACAGCGGAAGCCCTTCCAGTCACAATCCAGTACTGGGAAACACGCATACACTCTCACATTTACACACACTCATACACTACGGCCAACTTAGTTCATCCAGTTCACCTTTAGCTCACCCCTTTGGACTGTGGGGGAAACCGGAGCACCCGGAGGAAACCCACGCCAACACGGGGTGAACATGCAAACTCCACAGACTCGAACCAGCATCCTTCATGCTGTGAAGCACCAGTGCTAACCACTGAGCCACCATGCCTCCCTGCACTGGCAATGGATTCCAGCTTCCAGCAAAGCAAGAACCGCTTTCATCCAGCTTAAGAACATCCGGACTTTGAGAGAACTTACTTTGACCACTAAGGCCTGTCTGTTCAACTCCATTTTGAAGTCAATGTTGTTGTATGGGATCGAAACCTTGAGGTATGGGCAAAAGGGGGGTGGGGGGATTGGGGGGTTTATGGAGTAAGAACGATTCTAAGGGCTAACACCGTTTTGGGGCCCCCCGAGTTACTATTAGGGTCCCATCCAGGGCTGGAGCAAACTGAACTGCCGCTCTAGGCAGAGGACGATCACGCCGCCTTTAACCCCAATGTGAAAACGAAAGTGACCGATTATGAAAATGAAGTGAGGTGTCACAGACCTCTATTCTGCCGCCCTATGCGCAGATATAACTGAGGGCGCGGGTGCTGAGGGAGGTGTCGTGGATGCTGCCCTCTCTATTCTGCCGCCCTATGCGTGGATATAACTGAGGATACGCGGGTGGGGTGAGTGAGGTGTCGCTGACATAACTGAGGACGCGGGTGGTAAGGGAGGTGTTGCGGACGCTGCCCTCTTTATTCTGCCGCCCTAGGCAGCCGCCTAGGTCGCCTCTGTGGACGCGCCAGCCCTGGTCCCATCGACCCCCGCCCCTACCCTTTCATCTGCAACACAACCTCAGCCCGGCTCACCGGTTTTCAATTTCACATTGCAACAGAATGTTGACATAGGGCTCGTATTGGCCTCTGGCACACCTGTCTGCAGGGTAACCAAATCTACCACTCGAAGAATTTAGACATTCATCAATACCTTTCTCAGAAAAATTCTTCACATTCTCTGGCCTGACATGGTCAATAACACCTACCTATGGGGAAGGACCTCCCAACCTCCAATGGGGTTGGATAGGGCACATACTACACAAACCATCAACTTGCATCAGACAGGCTTTCAGATGGAACCCCCAAAGAAAGTGGAAGAGAGGTAATCCAAGAAACACCTGGCGATGCAACCTCAAGGCAGACATCACAAGGATGGGTTACACCTTGAGACAAGTAGACAGAATGGACAGGACAGAAACCTCTAAAGATTGACCTTTGGTGATCAAATCCGCTCGACCTTTAGTGGACACTCAGAGTGTCACCATACCATAGAAGGGGTGGAGGGCATAAGTAAAGTAAGTTTTCCATTTAACATTTGTTCCTGTAGATGTTAAGTTGTAAGAAGGTCAAAAGAGCACACACAATTTGTTTTTGTAAAAGTGCACTTTAATAAGTTGACTATTTTGATTAATACATAGGCCTATAAAGTTTTTTACTTAAATGATATATACAAAAAGTTTATCGATGCTTGAGTTTTTTGCAACTCTCTTCCATCGTCTTTGATGAAATTTTCATCACAGTGCATTGCTCAATAGAGTATACATGTAAAGCTGCATCACACTCGAAATGTAATAAATAATCCAGCCTAATCTTACTGTGTGCATGTATTTTGAATAGGGTTAGACGGGTAGTTCGTTTGGGTTTGGAACACAGCCACAGTCTAATAACACTAGGAGAACATAAAGATCAGAACATATGTATCAGGGAATGATAGAATGGAGTAAATACATAGAGATTGTTTTATATACTAAATTAGGACAATGATACAATAAAGACTGACTTCTGAAACAGATTTGCTCTTTTAAATTAGAAAGAAACGCAGCATTTAAGATATGCAACATGGAGCATGTTAAGGGTTATTCTGAGACACGATGCAAAGAAAGCTTCGGAAATGGACACTACCCGTCTACAGTTTATTTATTTTTCATATTTGAAGAAGTTTCAACAGAACCCAAGGAACATGATCAATTGTGTCCTCGCTGAACGCAGTTTGCAATATGTTTTCTAAGGAAAAATGACTAGTCAGGTACGAAGAGTTTTCTATTAAATCCACACCGAAGTTTTTCCATTTTTTACTAGTGTCCCAGCTCTCTCGGTGCTTGCTTTGGGCCGAGCGCCCTGCTTCTCCTGAGCCATGTTGATGCGGTTCTGCTCTGTCGTTGTGCCACCAGAAACGGGGCTGCTGGCTCTTGAAATATGAGTGGTTTTTGTGTTGTATGTCTGAAAAGCCATGTCAAGCTGCTCCTGAGCTACTCGTAAATGGTGGTGCAAGGTTGCTAGGTCAGTGGGGATGTTCTCATCAGGACTTGTGCAGTGTTGTTCTGCGATCTCTCTATCCATGTTCTGATCAGGCAGGACGATGCTGTTGGGAATGCGACCGGGTTTGTCGGATTTAACAACTAAGTTGTATCCTGGCGGAGAACTGGAAATATTCCTGGAGTAAGGGTAGCCATAGGAAGGTCGCTGATTCTGGTTTCGACGTTTGCGAAGAGTGTCTCGAAAGGCACCGATCCCCAAGTGAAACATCTCGCAAACATTGAGCAGCAGACATAGACAGCTCACCACATACATGATGAGCAAAAAGATGGTCTTCTCGGTGGGTCTTGAAACAAAGCAGTCCACCCTGTGTGGGCATGGGATCTTGTTGCAGACGTACGAAGGGTTGACGCGGAAGCCGTAGAGGAGATACTGACCCGTGAGGAATCCCACCTCGAAGATGGCGCGGGATAAAAGTTGAAGAACATACATCCTCATTAAACCTTCTTGCATGATCCTGCGGCGGCCATCGTGTTTTAGGGGATCTCGGACAGTCTCTGCTTTGATCTCTCGTGCATCTTCTTCGTAGATCATTGGCTCCGCGTCCTCATCTTCCTCCTCTAAAGCGTCCTCTAGATGGTGTCCGTTTCTCCAGCGACTGTGGTGCCTCCTCTTCTGGTAAATCTGGTTCTTGTGTCGTTCCTCCTCTGAGGTTTTGGCGATCTTATGGATGGCATATCCCAGATACATGACGGAGGGTGTGGAAATCATGATTATCTGGAAGACCCAGAAGCGGACGTGTGAGAGCGGTGCGAAGGCGTCGTAGCAGACGTTGTCACAGCCGGGCTGCTTTGTGTTGCAGGTGAACTTTGTCTGCTCATCCGAGTAGATCGACTCGCCCCCGACTGCGGTCAGAACGATCCGGAAGATGATCAAGACCGTCAGCCAGACCTTCCCCACAAATGTGGAGTGGTTGTGGATTTCCTCCAAGAGTCGAGTGAGAAAGCTCCAGCTCATGTTGGTGACAGAGGCTCTTTATTTAGGATCTGAAAAACAGAGGGAAAATGAGGTAAGTGTTGAGGTACAGTCTACATCAGGGGTCCCTAACCTTGTTCTAGGAGAGCTACCTTTCTGCAAATTTTAGTTGCAACCCTGACCAAACACCCGTCTCTAATTATCAAGTGCTGCTTCAGGTCATTATTGATTGATCCAAGTTTGTTTAAACAGAGTTGGAGCTGAATTCAGCAGGAAGGCAGCTTTCCAGGAAAACAGTTGGTGAACCCTGGTCTACATTCAGTGCATACCAAAGATATTTGCCCAATTACAGATTTTTAAACAAAAGGTCCATGATTTAGATTTCACGCAAACTGTAACAGAAACTGAGAAAATACTGGCTGTGTTAAATTTTTGAGCAAAATGAACCTAAACACACTGCACTGTGAACATTTACACATGTATATTTTATTGGGCAGGGGTTATGAATCTAATGTGGTCACACTACACTTTCCATCTCATAGGCTTTGATTTAAACATATGCGAATGCGGCAGATCAGAAATGTAGTGCTTCGCATATAGCATCACATGATTATGTGAGACCAATTGTAGATCAAAAACGTGATTTCAATAATCTAAAATATTGACCAATTGTTTGATTTATCAGTATTCCTCTTTTTTCGCAAGTCTGGCTATTTATCATTTGGGGCAGAGCTATCAGTTATTTTGGAAGGTATTATAAGTCATTTAAGGCAGAGCTATCAGTCATTTCGGGCAGAGCTATCAATCATTTAGGGTGGGATTATCAGTCATTTGAGGCAGAGCTATCAGTCATTTAGGGCGGGATTATCAGTCATTTGGGGCGGGTCTATCAGTAATTTAGGGTGGGGATATCAGTCATTTAGGGCGGGACTATCAGTAATTTAGGGCGGGTCTATCAGTAATTTAGGGTGGGTGTAGCAGTAATTTAGGGTGGGCTATCAGTCATTTGGGGCGGAGCTATCAATCATTCAGGGCGGGATTATCAGTCATTTGGGGCAGAGCTATCAGTCATTTAGGGCGGGATTATCAGTCATTTGGGGCAGAGCTATCAGTCATTTAGGGCGGGATTATCAGTCATTTGAGGCAGAGCTATCAGTAATTTAAAGCGGGATTATCTGTCATTTAGGGCGAGATTATCAGTCATTTGGGGCGAAGCTATCAGTCATTTCAGGCGGGATTATCAGTCATTTGAGGCCGAGCCATCAGTCATTTAAAGCGGGATTATCAGTCATTTGGGGGCGGAGCTATCAGTCATTTCGGGCGGGATTATCAGTCATTTGGGGCAGAGCTATCAGTCATTTAGGGCGGGATTATCAGTCATTAGGGGCGGAGCTATCAGTCATTTAGGGCAGGATTATCAGTCATTTGGGGCGGAGCTATTAGTCATTTAGGGCGGGATTATCAGTCATTAGGGGCGGAGCTATCAGTCATTTAGGGCAGGATTATCAGTCATTTGGGACAGAGCTATTAGTCATTTAGGGCGGGATTATCAGTCATTTGGGGCAGAGCTATCAGTCATTTAGGGCGGGATTATCAGTCATTTGGGGCGGAGCTATTAGTCATTTAGGGCGGGATTATCAGTCATTTGGGGCAGAGCTATCAGTCATTTAGGGCGGGATTATCAGTCATTTAGGGCGGGATTATCAGTCATTTGGGGCGGGTCTATCAGTAATTTAGGGCGGGTCTATCAGTAATTTAGGGTGGGTGTAGCAGTAATTTAGGGTGGGCTATCAGTCATTTGGGGCGGAGCTATCAATCATTTAAGGTGAGTTATCAGTCATTTAGGGCGGGAGCTATTAGTTATTACAGGGTGGGACTATCAGTAATTTAGGGCGGGGCTATCAGTCATTTAGGGTGGGGCTATCAGTCATTTAGGGCTGGGTTATCAGTCATTAGAGGTGTGGCTATCAGTCATTTAGGGGGAGGTTATCAGGGCATGTCTTGTTTCTGCTCTGCCTTTGTCAGTCTTCTTTCATTTTGCTAGCAGAGCCCATCTTCCAACAGTCCAATCAATTCCCAAAGGATTAAAATGCAACACCCTACATCTTTTCTCATTTCAAGTGGATGTATGTCACAAAAGAGGAAAGGGTCAAGCTTAACTTCAGTTTTACGGTGACTTAATTCTCTTATGTTGTTTTTGTGCAGCAGGCCTCAGGACTTATCATTTTTGCGTGCTTTAGTGTTGTTTGGGATGAATGTGTGTGAGGCTCGTGATCGTCTGTTTCTCAGGTAAGGTAACAGGATGTGCAGTTTCTTCGTCTTTCCTCTCGGGCAGTGCAGCGCACATGGGTTTACTTCTGCCTCTCTTCCTCTCATCACTAAACTCTGGTTTATTTCAGGTCACAGTTGAATTGTTTCCAAACATCACCCTAAGGACTAAAACTAGGCCACGAAATATCCTGACAGACAGTCACAGCTCAGCCCGTGGGTGTGTGTGACAAAGATTATTCAGAACATGATCCAGCGCACAACTTCAACTCTTAAAAACAAAGCAATATTATAGGGGACATTGCACAACTGTTAAATTGTATAAATAAAATATGAAATTTTTGATGTGTAAAAGGTTATATTACTTGAATATGAATAAACACAGTATTAAGGGGACAGTTCACCCAAAAAATGAAAAATTACTTACTATTTACTCTCCCTCAAGTGGTTCCAAACCTTTACAGGTTTCATTCTTCCGTTGAACACAAAAGAAGATATTTATAAGAATGCTGAAAACCTGTAACCATTGACTTTCATTGTAGGAAAAATAAATACTATGGAAGTCAATAGCATTCTTCAAAATATCTTCTTTTGTGTTTAACAGAAGAAGGAAACTTAAGTGAAGTTTAGTTTTAAACTAATTTCGAGAGGAGCATGTGCTCATGATTTACCCAGCTGGTCCACATTAACTAATTATGATCCTCCAATCGAAGGATCCCAAATTACTATATATATCCTCATTTCCTTTCTACAACTATCTTCGTCTGGAAGAAACCCCCCTCCTCCCCTTCTTCCTCCTTTATCCAGAATGGGCGGCACGGTGGCCCAGTGACTAGCACTGTTGCCTCACAGCAAGAATACCAATGGTGTTGGGTCCTCGCTGAGCCATCTGGTATTTCTGTGTGGAGTTTGCATGTTCTCCCCGTGTCCGCGTGGGTTTCCCCCGGGTTCCCCGGTTTCCTCCCACCATCCAAATGTGCTCTATATTATAGATAAAACAAGCCTAAACCTTTTTTATAATGTCTTACTCTCAGGAAGTTCGCCTTGGCCTCAGCAGCGGGGGAGTTTGAGATAGACCTGAGCTCAATCTCCACTCGCCCTGCAAAAGGGGGGGAGCCCTGGGCTCGAGGATCCCCTGAGCTCAGGGCTCTCTCCCGGGACAGCATGCCAAACAAGCAATGTATAAATCATGAGCTAAGTGTGAACTCTTGAAACAGGTTTGAAACAAGTAAATTATGGCAAAATTAAAATTTTTGGGTGAACTATCCCTTTAAATCTCAAATACACGTTAACATTTTTTTTTTATTAATAACACATGCATATTTTTTTTTAATGTGAGATTTTCTAAAATTAGTGATGGAAAACTAAACAAACAAGAACCACTGGCCTTAAGAAGTTTATGCTGTTTTATTGAGATTAATAACAGTTTTTATTACACAGTGTAATACAATTATTTATTTATTTACAGTTTTTATATAATTTTATTTAATATTTATTTATGTAATATAAACCTTATATTTTATATAAACTGAAATGTTATTAATCAAATTCTTAGTTAATCATCCACTATCTGTGATGCTGGCAGACTACCATGGAAAACCACCACAGAATACTTTAGTTAAATGTCAGGTTCATTGATTTTTATTTTGTTTACTTGCTTTTATTGTATTTTCTTTTGTTTTATTTTGATTTGTTTGTTTGTTTGTTTTTTTATTTTTATTGTTTTGTTTTAATTATTTAGTTTTATTTGTTTGTTTGGTTTTATTTTGTTTTCATTTGTTTATTTAATTTTGATTGTTTTGTTTTATTTACATTTTTTGTTTTATTTTGTGTTTTATTTGTTTTTTGTTTCATTTACATTTGTTTACTTTAATTTTATTTGTTTTATTTAATTTGATTTGTTTGTTTTGTTTTACTTTGATTGTTTTATTTTATTTGTTTGTTTTATTTTATTTGTTTTTGTTTGTTTTATTTTGATTTGTTTGTTTTGTTGTGATTTGTTTGTTTGTTTTTTATTTTTATTTGTTTTATTTTATATCATTTTATTATGTTTTTTTATTTGTTTTGTTTTACTTAGATTAATTTTTTATTTTGATTTGTTTTGGTTTCTTTTAAAACAAAATAAAATAAATAAATCTGATTTAATTAATATAACTTTTATTTATTTATTGTTTTAGAAATTACATTATAGTCATTTAGACGCAGTGACGCAGTAGGTAGTGCTGTCGCCTTACAGCAAGAAGGTCGCTGGTTCGAGCTTTGGCTCAGTTGGTGTTTCTGTGTGGAGTTTGTATGTTCTCCCTGCGTTCGCGTGGGTTTCCTCCGGGTGCTCTGGTTTCCTCCACAGTCCAAAGACATGCGGTACAGGTGAATTGGGTTGGGTCATAGTGTATATGTGTCAATGAGTGTGTATGGATGTTTTGGACGCTGTGTAAAACGTGCTGGATAAGTTGTCGGTTCATTCCACTGTAGCGACCCCGGATTAATAAAGAGACTAAGTCGACAAGAAAATGAATGAATAATAGTCATTTACACAGCTCCAACACCTTTTAAAAGCAACAAATGATATGCTTGAAAGTGCTAGAAAATAATGTCTCTCCTATCAGTCTATATCAATCCTAAACCGAAAGGACGGGGCCTCACAAAGGGTCCATTTTAACCCAGAAATGTGTGTTTTGAAGAGTCTATAAAGCAACGGTTTGCCTTGAGTAATGTAACCGGCCCGCTTGGCTAATGTGGGATCAGCTCTAAACATACAGGAATGGCTGCCACAGGCTCACACTGTGAATCTTAGAGGAAAACA